GATTCATTTGTTAGCATTGTGGTAACATTAATACAAAACTAGAATTTACGCCTCACAGTTATATGCCTCAGTTTACATCCATGTCTGTGAAAACATGGATGCTTCACACACGTCTTCCCAAAACAGCAAAGAAGATCTATACAATCAACATGGTTTCAAGGTGGACACCCAAAATTAGTATCACCAAGTCAGTATCTGACCAAATGTCTCCCGTTCTGTTCCTGAGTTATGGCCAGAAAAGTGTTGACCTTTGACCCTTTAGATATATAATGTCATCACTACATCATAATGTCCTGTTAGAAATTAGTATATGAATTCTTGAGTAATGGCCAAAACATCTTTTGTGTCCTTGACCTTTGGCCTATGTCTACCAAAGTCTAATCAGTTCATCCTTGAGTCCAAGTGGACGTTTGTGCCAAATTTGAAAAACAAATCCTGAAGGCATTCTTAACCTGTTGTGTTCACATAAATGGGATGGATAACCTAACAAACATAATGCCTGCGGCCACAGCGATCGCCAGCTTAAAAATGTAAAGAACAATAATGGCCGCTATAGCTATACATAGGGTCCTTTGAGTAAACACTGCATGTCAACATAACTTTTGATTGTTCAGAGGGAAACTTCCCATCCACCGCTGATAGTAATATCTGAGCAAACATTTGACTACGGATGTTACAGAAGGGAAAACAGTCCCTGCAGGCTGTACAGAACAGTATGATTCCCATCATCGCCAAACAAACATAATAACGTCTAAAATGGCCTGATACTGGTAAGTAGGTCTGACACCATCAGTGAGTGCATATTAAATAGACCAATTCCATCATGCTCCTTTTTACCTGCCAATGTTGAAGACACTGATAAGCTTCGGCTGGTGTGACCTGAGAAACAAACAGAGACAGGAGACATTTAAATTAGATTTAAATTACAGTAAGTACCTCCTATGGTCATATTTAAAGATATTGAACACTGTGCAAAATACTTGTCAACCAGCAGCTTCAGTACAAAAGAATCTGTATCAGACCATCTTAAAACTATATTGGTGGAACTCTGCTGCTGAGGCACTGACAAAACTTCAGATTGTAAATGATTTGTAAGGCAGGGGATGACTTAACCTGCTTCTTCAATAGCTTCTACTTTAGTGGAAAATTATGAGAAACTGCACGTGTAATGAAAGTGAGTAGTGGACTGGCATGGCGATGAATTTGTACATCATTTTCGTAGGATATCACAGGCTGTTCATCATTATTAATAGGTTATTACGCAGTGGTTTGACTGGTCCGGCCCACTTAAAAAAAAAAAAAATTGGGCTGTATGTGGGCCCTGAACTAACATTAGTTTGACACCTCTGCTTTAAATAGTTTAATTTGACCAATCAATAGCCCAAATCATAAAGATATTCAATTTAGAATAATATAAAACAGAGAAAAACAAGTAAATACTCACACTGGACAAGCTGGATCTAAGAAAATGGCATTTTTGCTTGACTGAAACAATACATTGATTATCGAAATGGTTGATGATTATTTCAGTTTATCTCTTTTTTAATGACTAATTGATTGATTAAATATTTGTTGAATAGTGATAATAATAATACTTATAGACTTTATTCAGATAGCAGCTTTCATTCTTCCAAGAACACTACTGACCATTAAATGCTTTTATCTTACTATATCTTATCTAATGACGAAATCTGTGTGTGTGTGTGTGTGTGTGTGTCTGTTCCGTTTTTTCTCTTCACTGACTTGGTCAATCCATGTGAAATTTGGCACAGTGGTAGAGGGTCAAGGGAGGATGCGAATGAAGCAATATTACATCAATTGGCCAAAGGGGGGCGCTATAGCAACGACTGAAATGGCAAACTTTGAATGGGCATACCTCATGCCCCGTATGTCGTAGAGACATGAAACTTTGCACAGAGATGCCTCTCCTCACGAGGAACAACTTTGCCTCAAGAACCCATAACTTCCGGTTACATAGATTTTCAGCCATTTTGAATTTTTTGAAAAACACTTAAAATCGATCGCTTCCTAGGAAGTTTGACTGATCTGCATGATCACCACGCAACTTTGTAGGCATATGACCATACATAATCTGAGGGGACCCCTACATTACTGACCTGATCAAACAAAATGGGGGCGCTAGAGAGCTAATTTCTTATCTAGGCCTAACTGCCATATCGATTTTTACTAAACTTGGTAGATATGTAGAACAGGACCCCACCCATCAGTTACTCGCCTCATGTTGTGTTGAATTTGTGGGGAAATGTTTTTCTGTACCCCCGTTTTTCTGTACCCCCAGTACAGGGTGGGGGGGTGGGGGGGTTCAGTGAAGCATGACAGGAAGGATGGGAGAGAGAGGCAAAGAGCAAAGGCCGGATTCCAACCCCCACCACTGCAACAAGGCCTAGCCGCACCTTTCCCATGTGAACTACCAGTGCACCCCACTTTTAAGTCTATACAATATATAAACACTTTAACTATCTGCCTTTCAGCGTGCTACCTCAACCATTAATGTACAGTTTTAGCCCACTAACTAACTAACTTAGTATCTAACTAACTATCCCACTATTGGCAATGGTACTACTGTACTTTCAATAAAGCAATCGTACTATCAAATTCACAAAAACTCTGTTTGAATACATTGCTCTTCTTAATGGGTTCAGTTGACTATTTAATCTGCAATTTCCTATGACCTGTATCCCAAACACACACAATGTGAAACTGTACGTGGGCAACTGTGCACTCAATGGGTATGGACTAGTTATATTATTATTTATACAATTATTTCTCACAGTTTACTTTAGTTTTCAACCATCTTAGATAAAATAAAATGAAATGAAATGAAATAAAATAGAATAAAATAAAGTAAAGTAAGATAAAGTAAAATAAAACAGTCACACTCTTGTACATTATCTGTGTAATTTCACAATTTAAAAAAAAATTTTTTTTAGTCGAACTCCAAATGCATTATTAATTTTGTATCACATAGGCCTACCTGACAGTGAGGGATATTTGCTAGTTGCAAACTTGGAAAAAACTCCTGCTGCACGACTGACCGCCATCACTGTCTGAAGCCCTTCACCTGAGCCGTTTCTCAATATGCGCTCTTGTGCGGACTTTTGTTTTTGTAGATTTGTGACACAAGTTAAGTCCGGCGGATTTGCTTTCGCCACGCCCCTTTATGCATCGGAGCAGACTTGTGTGGAAGACAGCCAGGTATCCCCGGAAATGGCAAGTGAGGGAAAGGCGCACAACTGTAAGTCGTAACTACCGATATGTTACTGTTGTTTTGTCACGGAATGTAGTGTTTTCATGCGTAGTTTAAACTTCAGACCCGTGGTCGATGTATTAATATAGAGCCCACCTGAATGTAAGGTCCCGTTAGATGACAGCGGTGTCAGCGCCCATAGATAATAAACGTGTGTATGAGCGCTCAGGCTGCCCGACCAAGAGCAGCCTCTCTCGGGTAGTCCTTTGAAATTTGTCACTGATATCTCTGTAGTGGTTAAATATGAAATGTAATTCGTTTGGGGTATGTCTAATGGGCAATATTCAGTCTCAGTATATAAGATATATTATTATATTATTAAATGTTGTGACATTGTTCATTTAATTGTTCTTTGTATGTATTATTTTGCTTATTTATGTGTTTTTACCATTCAACAAGAATTTATTGTAATTTATTTATTGTATTTAAAGATTAATTGTATCTGATATGAATTGTATACCTGATGTCTGAAGTGTGGCTGAATAAAATTTTCCTCTTAACATTTGACCTGTTTGATCCCATTTATATTGGTGAGGGCAGACTAAATGAGAAACTGCTGTCAGTATAATCCAGTACAGTTCAACAGCACCACAATCTACAACTCAACACTTAATATTAAACTGCTTTTCTTTTTTTCTAGATGTACCAAGTCCCCATAAAAATGTAGACAGAAAGCATAATGATGAGACAAATGCAGTGATGGACAGTAACTAAGTATATTTACTCAAGTACAAATTTGATGTATGTACTTTGGGTAGTTCCTTTTTGTGCTACTTTATACTTAGAGGGAAATACTGTACATTCTACTCAAGCTACATTTATTTGATAGCTATAGTTACTTTTCAGATAGTTTGTTTTATATGTTGTAAGTTTCATATTGACTAGTTGATGTGCGTTGTTATAGATTAGACTAGTATACTAATGAAAGGTGTTAAAATTAGCCTAATTCTACCGTGACAACATTTAAATGCTGCTTACATGTAGCCTACGTGTAAATTGATCAATTAATACTCAATACATATTCATGTAGCCTATATGATGATTACAACACTTGAAATTGGGTCACTCTGCATAATGAGTACTTTTAATTTTTCATTTTAAGTAGGCCTACATTTTACTGACAATACCCATATACTTTTACTCATGGCAGATTTGCAGCACTTTTACTTGTGACTGAGTTTTTGTTCTTTGTTGTGATATTAGGCTACTACTTTTTCTGGGTACTTTGTCCACAACTGGACAAACATATCAAACAACAGAGACATGCAAGCATAGCACATCTCATCCTCATCCTCCGCCTCATTCTCTGCTGTCTTTCTCGGATCTGCCTATGCCAAGTCCGAACTTGCCAAGTCCACAAGTCCGAACTGCTGAACTTGAGTATTAAGAAACGCCTCTGGATTGACACACTGCCCGGCGCTCACAATAAATAAATATAATAAGAAATATTCCCACCGCTCACAGTAAATATTCCCGCCGTTGGGGGCGCAAGAGTGGTCTATAACGGGAAAAGGTCCTCAAAGCACGCTAAAATATTGCTGTAGCATAAATGTTCTTGTACTCAAATCGTTGCCTCTTATCTAAGAAAAACAATATTTTATAGATGCCACTGTTGGTATTTATAAGTTTAAAAGCCCTTAAATACTAGCTACAAATGGTATTAAGCCATTTATTTGTCGGGCTTGTGTATTTTTTGTTCAGGCGCTACCTCGGTCAGCTAACACATTCGTGGGGCTTTGAAAGCGTAGTCCATTGGGTCCAGTGCAGCAGCGCCGCTGAGCCTGCCCGATAGTTTGACAGGGAAGACGTGTCGGCAAAGACAAAACACGGAGACAGGTGAGCCACAGCAGTCATCATTTATGATAAAACTAGTAAGAGCTTAAGACGTGATATGAACTCTGCAAACGCGTTTCTTCACCCCGAACACAGCGGAGTAGGTAACAGCTGAATGGACATGTAGCTACATAAAGTTAGCTCTACTAGCTTAACGTTACATCTTGTTTACTTGCCTGTTTAGCTCGTTTCAGTAATGTGTTTTTTGGTTGCTGTAAACTTAATTTTAATGTTCCAAATACTCAATCGATGTGTAGACACTTATGACCCTGTTAGTGCACCGTGTTTCTGTATTTATGTCTCTGTCATTCTCCAGGATAGGAATCTAGGTGAAGGGTCAGAGCCTGGGAGGGGGGTGGTATGAGTGACCGTCAATGATGTGACATATGTCCCACATTATAAAACACATATACATTATACCTATATATATTAGGCCTCTAATTTAAGCTTAAATCCTTATAAAATTAAAACCCCCATTGTTATGTAACATGAGAAAATCTGGAACAGAGCAGAGACTTATATTTTTGAAGGTCTTTGGTGAGTTATGTGGTGGAGGAAGTATTAAGAAAGTCCATAGAAGTACCATAATCTAAAGATATTTCATTAAAAGTAAACGTCCTGAATTCAAAATGTTATTAACATAAAAGCACAGGTCGATTATGAGCAATATGTACCAAGAGCATTTAAAGGTTGCAGTTTGTAGAGATGGGAATCACCAGATGATCCACGATACGATATTATTACGATACTTTACTCAAGATACAATATTATTACAATTTTTCAATATGCTATATTCAGTATCGCATTCAGACTGAAAAACCAACTTATTAAATTATTCTAGTAGGCTGCCTAAAGTTTAATTTATATTTGTCATATTAATAATTTATATAACAAAAAAAATCGATACTGTGTGATGATACGATATTGCCACACAAAAAATATTGCGATACTATACTGTATCGATTTAATGTAGGTAAATGTAGGACAGAGTAGAGCTTTATATTGTGAAAGGTCTTTAGATTAAGTTAGTAGGGGTAAAGCTGGCCCGTCCTTCACCGTCCCCATCATCTGACGGTTAATGGCCTCTTCGTTTGCGAGGGCAAGGGGGGCGCGTAATTCTTAGTCTCCCCAGTTGCTCATCTTTACAGTTTCTGTCAGTTTTGCGTTTCCCTCTCGCTACTAGTACTAGCTGCTCATTTCTGCTATCAGCTGTTTCCGGTTTATCCACCACCAGTGGGTCACACGTGCGGCGTCATCAATGCATTTAAAGTATCAAATGTAAAAGTACCTATGCAGAATGATTCCTTCACAATGTTATAGATAGAAAATTATATGCTTCTGTTTTCATCACTCACAGATACATGTAAGAAGTTTTAAACAATGCAGCTCTTTAACGTGAAGACAGTTTTTTTTTGTATAGTCTACTACCGGGTATATTGGTAACATCGTATTGAGTCATATTATATCTTAAAAGCATATAATAATGTATGTTTTTTAACATACAAAGTAACTACTAACTACAAATGTTTTTCAGTAAGAAAGAATATTTCCCTCTGGTAGTGAAGTAGAAGTATAAATTAGCATAGAATGTAAATACGCAAGTAAACAACACGTAGTTTGCGGTCCAGTTTAAATGGAAATTGTTCCGTTTTCTCCTTCATAAAAGCAACACTGCTAAAACAGAAAGTGTTTCAGTTTTTAAAATGTTATGTAAATCAGAAGTCTGGTTATAACTTTGCAGTAATAATTTGTTTCTTTCTGTGTAGAACACAATGGCTTCCATGTTGCTGAACACAGTGCGGGGCTGCTCTGTCAGCCCTTCCTGGGCAATGAGGTTGGGTAAGTTTTCTAAAATAACATTTATTTCAGATGCTCCAATATTTGCCAAAGCAATGGAAAAATGTATCAAACAAGAGAACACAGTCAGAAACAGGGGTGTAAATCACCAGTTTCATCACGATACGATATTATATCGATTCTTTGGACAACAATAAAATATTTGCTGATATCACAAAGTCTGCCACAATATGATTTGGATTTGATGCGATGAAGGGGCCTGCGATCGATATGACGCGATATCATCTGCCCATATAACACATTATGTTACAGAGGGAAGCTGCCCCCCTTTCTTTTTTACTTTTGGCCATTAAAGATAAAAACAACACATAAATAATAATTGCAGTAAAGTTTACGTCAGTTGACTCCACTAACACACATAAAACAGCACATGGGATTGGTTAACCTTCAGGGTTTTCTGGAAGAAATCTTTTCATTTTAACCAAAACCATCATCTTTTCCTAAAACTTAAGGTTGTCAGGCATAAAACCCTGAAGGCAAACTTCTCCCAACAGCCAAGTAACATGGTTTAACAACATTGTTTAACAAAAGTAGGAAATCCAGCTTAGCAATAACTGTCACAGTTCTTAGACAAATGAGTTGTTATTTGCTAGTCACCCATTATGCGCTTAAGCATGTTTACATTGCATAAATTAGCCTACTGGCTAGCAGCGTTTTCCTCTGCTCATTGCAGAAATCACATGCTACAGAACGGTATGGTTGAATTTCAGGCCAGCATTGTTGAAACAGAGCAGCTAATGTTCCTGTAGTGAGAAGTTAGCATGTGCTCTGTCTGTTTACCTGTATTTTCTCCCATCATCGAAAACATTTCCATACTGCTGATTTATTCCAGAGTAAATAATGTTATCCTCATCTTCTTTCTCTCGGCTGCTTGCCGCCTGCCGCTGTTTGGCGGCGACACAGACTTTTGGCGTAAGGTGTAACTTAAAGATGATGATATAGGTCGATGTTTTCACTTTGCAGCGATGATATTGTATTGTTGATTGTTGAATCGATATATCGATGGGTCTTTACACCTGTAGTCAGAAATACAGCACCAACATCTTTTTTCTCTGTGTCTCAGGGGCACGCTCCCTCAGTACAACCACCCAACTTCAGGCTCAGGGTAAGTCGTTACTCTAAGTGACTTTACTTCCATTCACATAAAAATCCAGATCATAGACTTGTGGAGATTAGTGTCATCGTAAGCCTCTATGTGAGAAGACATTTATTTACCTGGACAGAACCTGTGCAAAACTATCCTCTCTAGGACCTCTCAACTTCTAAATGGTTGAAAATTTGATATTTAGATGGTAATAAAAGTGATTCCTCAGTCTAACTGCCTGTTGCTGTCTTAATTGTCTTTCAGTTCAGACAAAGAGCAAAAAGACGCTAGCTCGGCCTGGTGTGAAGAACATTGTTCTGGTGGAAGGAGTTCGAACCCCATTCCTGATGTCTGGAACCACGTACGTCATCGGCTGTTGTCTTGTGTCTAAGTTTACTGACCACCGTAACTTTAGGAAGAAGGAAAACCTGTAGTCACATGATTTGTACGGAGAGATAATCCCAGTTTGAGGGTAAAACTTTTCTGGTTTGTGTTTACAGATATGCTGACCTAATGCCCCATGACTTGGCCAGAGCAGCTCTGCAGTAAGTGCTTCCTATTTTGCCTCGGTGCCTGACAGCTTTGACTGGAGGCATTATGTTTCCGGGTTGTTCGTTCCATTCTTGTAAACAAGATATCTCAAGAACACCTTGAGGTAATTTCTTCAAATTTGGCACAAACGTCCACTTGATCACAAAGATGAACTAATGATAATTTGGTGGTTGAAGCTCAAAGGTCAAGGTCACTATGACCTCACAAAACATGCTTTTGGCCATAACTCAAGAATTCATACACTAATTTGTAACGGGACATAATGATGACATGTTATATATAAAAGGTCAAAGGTCAGCTTCACTGTAACATCACAATGTTCTGCAAAAACACTTTTCTGGCCATAACTCAGGAACAGAAGGGGAGACATTTGGTCAGATACTGAATTGGTGACACTAATCTTGTGTTCCCACCTTGAAACTGCTGATTGTCGAGAGCTTCTGTGCTGTGGGGGGGAGGATGCGTGTGAAGCATCCATGTTTTCACAGACATGAACGTAAACTGTAACTGCAGCTTGGCTGGTTTGCAGAGGCATACAGCCACAAGACATTTAGTAGCACACAACATTTTTTAGTAGCACAATGAAAATCCAGAGACATTTTCAAACAAATAAAGTACTTTATTTAGCCTAACCCTAACCCTGTAGAAATTAATTTTTAATGTTGCGACTGGCTCTTTGCCATAACAAAAATGGAAACACACACAATGCAAATGTGTTTAAGAATATCTATTAAATTAATAAATATAAAATAAATATATAAATATAAGTATACAATAAATTGTATGAGTTCATAAATTAAAAAAAAAAAACAATCCTTGGTAAGTCCATTGAAACGCCAAGAATGTCTGTTGTCCAGCAGTCTACATAATCTGGTCACCTGGCTCGTTTGCGAGACACGCCATGTTTCTTCACAGTGTCTCTTTTCAGCTGCGCATCTCCTGTGACAAAGGCCGTTTTCCCAGCTAACTTCTGATGAGCAAGACACCATTTGCAGTACATTTTCCCATTCTTAAACACTAACCACGGAAACATGCTCTGCCACTGGGCATTGTATTTGAACTTTTTCTTCGTACTTTCTACGTTTAAGTTTGTCTTTTTGGCACCGATGCCTCCTTCTCCCTCCTCCCCCTCAGACACTCTGTCTGACTGGGATCTCTCCACCTTGCTTACCCTGTCCTCTTCATGGATGTGGTCCGGGTGTTCTTCGTCGCTCTCGTCTTCATTTAAGTCTCTCTCATTATCCCCCTCATCCTCCTCTCTGTGAATGTCTAAACCGGTGTTCTGAAAATAAGCCATAAGTGGCTTCATTTTAAAAGCAATCTTTCTCCGCGCCATTTCGTCTTCAGCTCGTTTGGCGCCCTGGTTTTCAAAATGTGCGTGCATGTGGTCACGTGTCTGTTTTCAAACGGCTGCATTGGTTAGATGAGAAGCACTATGTTTCAGGTCTGATTACACAGCCTACATAGATTGACTGCGGATGTGTTGGTAGATTCAGAATCAGTAGCCTACAGCCTAAACATTTGTGTTCTTTTTTTTTTTTCCCCAAACAAAGAAATCAACTACCGTTAACGTTAAACAACAAAACCGTGCACGTACTAACATTTTTGTAGCACTTGCACTGGTGCTACTGAATATAATTTTCTGGTTGCACAGGAAAGTATCCACTCGCAAATGCGACCAAAACACTTACACTGTCGAGCCCTGCTCTAAGGTCAGATTTCCGTGGTGGAAAGACAGCGAAATCTCACCAATGCCACCCCAAAATCCAAGGTGGCTGCTCCATGCATTAATAGTAGTGAAAGCTGTAGGAATATACTGTTCATCAGCACCTCTGTCTAATTGTATCTCATTAAATCAGTCGTACACACAGTACTGTCCAACTTCTATCTGTGGACATGTTGCTACAATGCTTGTAAGGTCGAAATACAGCGGAACGTGTCAACTGGTATTGCTAACAATGAATAACCTGGCTAGATCTGGTAATGCTTGGTTTTCCAAGGTAAATGCAATGATAATGCTTTCAGTTTTGAATGGTAAGAAAGACACAAGCTGTTACCAGTCAGCATGGACGTTATATAACTATGGCCCTACGAATTATGGGTGACCTTCAGATGTAATATCTAGTCGTCAAAGAATCTCAAAATGGCTGAAACACAACAATTTAAACAGCAGGAGAAATACAGGAACATTGGAGCTTCAGTTGTTTGGTTTGTCAGTCTGCTTTTGTCTGTTGCCATGTGATAAATTCACAGGATGCCTTTTTTCTGCCTCCATTCTTGTCTTGTTACAAGCAAAAGAAAGATGTCTCTTGTGTTACTGTTATTTAAAAAATCCGATTTTGGTTTCCCTAGGGGTCTGCTGCACAAGACGAATATACCCAAAGATGCTGTCGACTACATCATCTACGGAACAGTCATTCAGGAGGTCAAAACCAGCAACGTAGCAAGAGAGGTATTATCACAAACACACACACACACACACAGAGGTACACACACGAAATGAGTATAGTATCTGGAGCAGGACTTGCTCTACAACCAAAGGAGCATTTTTGAGCTGCTGTCCTGGTGTGCATCTCCTTCATTTTTCACTGTGGTTTCAGGCAGCACTAGGTGCAGGCTTCTCTGACAAGATCCCAGCTCACACCGTCACCATGGCCTGCATCTCCTCCAACCAGGCAATGACCTCAGGTATGTCAGGGAGAGAAATCTCCACGCAGGCCTCTTCTATTTGACATGTAGCATAAATTATGGGCTTTTATTGACTCTCGGGTGAAATTAAACGATGTACTTTGGCTTCATGCTGAATTAATTCAACTTAATTTTGACCCCCTGTAAAAGCAAAACAAACAAGCTCTCTAGCTGAGTTTAAGACATCAGTATAAAAAAACCGTAAACATCACATAAGGCACTTACATTTAAGAACACTAGGGATTAACAAACTGGTCCTATGTTTTTTTGGGTTGTTTCCCTCTTTGTGTAATTGTTGTCTGTCTGTTTGTTCTCCACCCTCCTCTCCAGCCGTTGGCCTTATTGCTGCAGGCCAGTGTGACACTGTTGTGGCAGGAGGGGTGGAGTTTATGTCTGATGTTCCTATCCGTCACAGCCGTAAGATGAGGAAGACCATGCTGGCCTTGAACAGAGCCAAGTCCCTCGGCCAGAGGCTCAGTCTGATTGGCAGCATCCGGATGGCACACCTCTCCCCAGAGGTATTCCATCACATAAAGGGGACCTATAATGCATTTCCTTATTTTCTGTTACATATATAATGCTACAATGTCAGATGGTTGTATTAAACATGGCTGAAGTTTCAAATAATGAGGTGAATGTATGTAAAAGTAACTCCTATGAGCAAAAACCTCAGGCTTCAGACAGTTGTGAATACTCTGCTTCTCTACTTTGGCTGCAAGCAGACGTCATATTGTGACAGATTTCTTTATATGGTCACCTGCACCAGGCACATTACTGCAAGTTTTTACATTATGTACACTGCTACATGTAGCTACATGCTAACATCAGGGAAATATGTAATCGTGGGTGCAGATGTTGCTAATTTTCTCGTGATTTCAGATCATATTCCTGGCACTACCGCTGCTCTCCTTTATAGTCATTCCCCTGGCTATGGTGCAGAGACGCCGAGATAGGGCTGAGCAGTGATTGATATTATATTGACATCATGATGTGTGACTAGATATTGTCTTAGATTTTGCATGTCGCAAGTGTCGTCTTTTCCTGGTTTTTAAGGCTGCATTACAGTAAAGTGATTTTAAAGAGACAGACGCTAAAACAGAGCATCTCAGACAAAAGGTGACTACAGGTGTTTCAGCACAGACAGTATAATGAAAATTAAGTGCATTCATGTTCTAGTAGAAACATAAAATACAAGTATGAACCCGAAAAATGAGCATAACAGGGCTCTTTAAGCGCTCGCACCTGTTTTAGTTTGTTAAATTTAATTTGCAGTGTCAGAAATCAGATTTCTTCTCTTAGACCTTTGACATACAGTTCAGTATTTCCTCCTGTAACATTTTTATTATGTGTGTGTAGCTTCCTGCTGTGGCCGAGTTCTCCACATCTGAAACCATGGGCCACAGTGCAGACCGTCTGGCTGCTGCATTTGGCGTCTCCAGAGTGGAGCAGGATGAGTTTGCCATGCGATCACACAGTCTGGCCAAACAGGCCCAGGATGCCGGTCTGTTGAAGGATGTCATCTCTTTTAAAGTGCCAGGTAAACAGTGCTCCGCTCATTAAACTGAGATACATGACATTACAAAGTAATGGATGGCTGTTGATGGTTAAATTGCTGATGTCATTTGTCTGTGCTTGTTGTCACCAGGCCGTGATATTGTTTCCAAGGACAACGGCATCCGCCCATCTTCCATGGAGCAAATGGGCAAACTAAAGCCCGCCTTCATTAAACCTCACGGCACAGTCACAGCCGCCAACTCCTCCTTCCTGGTAAACACATACACATGCCCTATAGCAGCCTGTGTACTTAAATTCCTACGTCCTGGCTCAAAAACACCATCAGCATAGATATGATTATTTGTCAGGTCAAATCTATATATAAAGCACATTTAAAAACACCACAAGTTGAACAGTTTGCTCTGCAGAACAGAGCAGGTAGCTGAAATCACAAACGTAAGACAAAAAACCCCTCAAAACATGGACTTTAACATCGATGCGTACACCTCATAGACACATAACAACAACTCAAAGGCATAGTCACAGATCCAAAAACAGCCATATCAAGAGGATTTAAACGCTAGTGAGTAAAACTAAAACCAACCGATAGGGTGGGGGATGGTGTTTCCCAGTATAGGGGCTGTAACCGCAAAGACGCGGTCAACCCTGAGCTTGAGGTGAGATCAAAGGACAGCCAGGAGCCTCAAGATAGCAGACCTCAGGGACTTAAAGGTAGCATAAAGGTTAGGGAGGTCTGAGATATAGGAGGGGCCACAACATTCAGGGCTTTATAGACAAACAGGAGAACCATAAAATCAACTCTGAACTGTACCGGCAGCCACTGGAGGGAGTCCCAAAACAGAGGTAATGTGGTCCCTCTTCCAGGTACCTGTGGACTTCTTAGTTGAAAACAAACATGCAAAGCTACACACACACATCCAGCTGCAAGAGCAAAGCAACTTTGGCTTTGTATTTTTAAAATTTCCCCTTTATAATTAAAATTTCTGGTAACTTTTTGGGGCACTTATGAAACGATTTGTTTAGCCCTGCTGAAGCTATCTCCCCCGACTCTCTTTCTACTGTTCTCTCTCACAAGTGGAAGCATTGTCGTCACTCATTAACTGCCCTCACATTAAATAAACTGCTTGTTTGTGTGTGTCCTCAGACTGACGGTGCCTCAGCTGTGCTCATCATGTCTGAAGAGAAAGCTTTGGCTATGGGTTACAAGCCTAAAGCCTACCTCAGGTATGCGCACCCTCTCTGTTTGGTGGAGCAGTCTCAGTTTCCCCAGTGATGCTCTTTCTGATGTGCTGATCATATCGTATTTGTGTCCTTACAGAGACTTTGTCTACGTGTCCCAGGACCCCAAAGATCAGCTGCTTTTGGGGTGAGTTCACAAATTTAGCTGAAGAAAAGCTAACCAACATTTAGTTAACACTGTGTGTGTTTTATCCTCCTGTACATGTGTGTGTGTGTGTAGGTAAGGATAGGTTTTATACCAAAAGTTTGAGTCTGTTTTCTGTTTGACACGGGGCCCTTTTTAACTCCCCAGGCCAACATACGGTACGCCGAAGGCCCTGGAACGGGCTGGCTTGAGCATGAGTGACATCGATGTCTTTGAGTTCCACGAGGCATTCGCAGTAAGTTATCAAACAACAAACAATGAAATAATGGCAGTAATACCACATGTTGCGCTGATGAGCCAGCCTTAATCATCCCAGGGGAAATTCCTTTACCTCAACAGCCCTATACACATATGCATTTCTTAAGTGATTAAACTGGAGTCTCTCAGTTTCTGTGTCTGCCTCAGTCCAACTGTGGCCTGTGTTATTCATGAGCATCAATGTTGGAGTAAGATTTGACCGGTCGACTACACATCCTGCACTTTGGAATCAGTGGAAATCAATGTGTTTTCTTTCTGGTATCTATGGCAACACTGGAGATGTATTTGTGTGTGTTTTCCAGGGCCAGATAATGGCAAATCTGAAGGCTATGGACTCCGATTGGTTCGCCCAGACGTACATGGGCAGGAAATCGAAGGTAAAGACAGCTGCTGGTCATATATTACACACTGCAACGGATAAACATTCTGCACAGACTAAATTAAAGACAACAATGATTGTATGTAAGCATTTGGTATTGGTGTAATTGTACTTTTAAAACTCATGTACTGTAAAACAAAAACAGGAAGTAATATCACTGAACATCAATCAGAAAAGAGATGTTTTTGCTTAGTTCTTGGTACTTTTCAATTATTCACCCGAGCTTTAACCCGGACCGTCAGTGTCTGTTTATATCCACCGCCTCTGTGAATGCTGAGTTCTGATATTGCAGAAAGAAACCCTGTAAATATCAGTCCAGACAAAATCTTTGTTGTGTCTTTCTGTAGGTTGGAACTCCTCCCATGGAGAAGTTTAACCTGTGGGGTGGCTCCCTGTCTTTGGGTCATCCGTTCGGTGCCACGGGCTGCAGGCTGGTAACCACAGTGGCACACCGGCTGCAGAAGGAAGGAGGACAGTACGGACTGGTGGCGGCTTGTGCTGCCGGAGGACAGGTAATTATTGGGTGACGTCAGCAGTGTCACACAAGCCGCTTTTTCTTTTTAACTTTAATTAGATTTTCACAATTTAAAGGGACAGATCACTGGAAATCAAAAAAATATATATCCTCCTACCTGTAGTGCTGATTGTTTTGGTGTTGGAGATATCAGCTGTAGAGATGTCTGCCTTCACTTAGACGTAATGGAACTAGATGGCGCTCAGCTTGTGGTGCTCAAAGCGCCAAAAAAAATACATCTGAAATACATTTCCAGAAATCCCGATTTCCTGATTACTAAAGATAATCCACAGATCTTGTTGTGAGCAGTTTCATGTAGGACCTTTTTAGGGAAACATGCTTCTTCTGTTAGCTCACTTAGCACCACTGAGCATCCTAAAGTTCCAGCTCAGCCAAGGACTACACCATTAATGTTTACATCTCACTCTGTCATGAGCCTCTCGTCCATGAGTAGATGCACTCTTCCTTCTGGCAGTAATACGGTTGGCAGGTGTAGCTCTGCAGGGAAAAAAAAAGGTTCCTACATGAAACTGCTCACAACAAGGTCTGTGGATTATCTTGAGTAACCAGGTCATGATTTCTGGAAAGAGACATTGCTGTTGAGTTTTTCAAAAGTATTTTTTAGGCGCTGTGAGCACCACAAGCTGAGTGCCATCTGGTTCCAGGCAGACATCTTTACGGCCGATATCTCCAACACTTCTGCAACTCACACCTGACAAACATGTATTGTTGTGTTTTCCAGGGTCATGCCATGGTGATTGAGGCCTACCCCCAGTAAAATACTTCAACCCACATCTGTGATTTAACCTTATGATCATAACGACAACTGCAGACGCTAACATCCAGACGACAGAGTCTAAATATTAGCACCACCATGCCTTCACCAGAGCCACATGCAGTGTGTGAGTGCGCTTTAGGAATCTTGTGTAAATTCAACTTTGCATAGATGCAGTTAAATTATATCAGAATGTTGTCGAAGAATGTCGCATATGAGTTTATGGACTCTGCGGTGCATCACGTTGGCATGTCGCTGAGTCGAATGTAACATAGCTAAATATTAGCACTCTAAAGAGATGCAGTGATTCTAATGTTTGTATACGCTGTAATGTTTTTTTCTTACAAACTGCTGGAATTAAACGGTGTGACGATGACCACACTGACACTCATTTCTGGGGTTGCTACTCTTTCTTGCTCTGAAAATGGGCCTTTTTCAAAGCACTCAACGGGAAAAGCACAGATGGTACAAATCACGATAGTGGCTCTGTTCTGTTCCCAGCAAGTGTCCCAGTAAGACAAAATGCACAATATCAGGGCCCTGGAATTGAAGCAGCTAAATTGAATTCAACCATCATTATTTATGTTTTATTATTTATACATAATAAATATATCTCAACTTGTCTTGTATTAAAAGGGCCAATTAGCTGCACCTGCACAGTGATTATCAGGAGCTAGAATACTAAAAAAATTCACAGGTTCCATCTTCTAAAATGTGAATATTTGATCTTATGTGCGAATAAGCTGAATACTTTGGGGTCTTGGACTGTTGCAGAGACATTTGGAGACACTTACTATTAACCCATCTGCCAAACATACGAGGTACAACCCAAGCCACACTAGATGAAGGAGAAGCCATCGTGAATAAGTGCCACAGTGCTCACACAAAGTTGCAGGTGTGTGAAGGAAGACATAAGGGAGAAATTATAGAATTTTTCTTTTGTATTTATCCTTCATTTAAATCAGAAAAGTCTCATTAAGAAACAGTATCTCTTCTGCCAGGCAGTCCTGGTCAAAATGGGCAGCAAAATTAAAAAACATTCAAATACAAGTACGTATGGAATTTTTTCTGATGCCCCAGTGTTATAGCTACTGGAGTCATATGTCACTGAACTAGAATGTTCCTCTGCAATTTAGCTGATAAAAATCAACATGGATTTCGATTTGGAACCATTTCCCATAAGGTTTTCTTATAAGGTTAATGAGACTGAGGAGAGAGGGAGGGGACAATATCATTGTGATGGGCATTTTTCACTATTTTCTGACATTTTTACACTAATTGAGAAATTATTAGAAAATTATACAGTTATGAAAATAATATGTTGCAGCCCTAATCTGATGTGACAAAAAATATTTAAAGGATAACTTAGGCATTTTTCAACCAGGACCCTATTTCCTCGTCTAAAGTGGTCAAAGAGACAGATGTGAACAACAGTTTTTGACATTGGTCCAGTAATGAGCGAGCGGGCAGCAGCTGCGGGACAGGCTGCAATGGAAGCACATGGGGCAATTGAACACTCACTGTATGTCCATTAAATTTGGTTATTGTCACCACAGACAGGCTCAGATTGTTATTATAAAGCCCCCTTTCCACCAAAAACTTTTAGTATGGTACCTTTGGAACCAACAGTAACCCTTCAGACATGGTACCTAGACCCTAGCGTTTCCACTGCAAACAGAACTGTTAAATGTGGGCGGGATTGTTGTCACTCAATGCTCCGTCCAGCACTCACTGTATTTCCTCCTTTATCAGTCTGCACCTTGTTTATCATCCACAGAATGAGGCTGCACGCCGACATTTTCAGAACAAAATAAAACAGGCTGCAGTGAGAATCTCTCTCCATGGGATATTTTAAAAAAGCAGGTTTGTGCGTTTAGTCCTTCACAGGCAAGCTCAGGGGTTTAGTGTTGCTGGAGCCCACAGGAACAACGATCCAAAATGCTTATTTTCCCCCTCAGAGCGAGGATTAGAATATACGCAGATCACATAATCCGGCCAAAATTAATATATATTTTTAATTACTAAATGTGTGTGTCCAAGAGAGACAATAAAAAGTAAAGTAACGGTCAAAGTTGTCACAGTGAAATTTAAGGTGTGTTGATGAATTTACATTGTCAACTCATACAGAGTAACATTACAAGTTAACGTTCCACCTTAAAAACTGCCGGCAGTCAGCCCAGTGAATTCAGTTATTTTTTCAACCTTTCATTTTATAGTTAAAGTCTCCTAATAAAACTCTCCACAGTATGAACAGTGGTTACATGAGCCTCAAAACCAGCCACAACTCAGCCCTGAGCAGAGTGACCGTCCTCTACTGACCAGTCAACGGACTGCAGTGTTCACAGCTCCACCTTTTAGTACCAGATCTGTGTGCTAGGTACCCCAACAGAGGGAGGGCCAAAAATGGGGACGGTATGGAAAGGTTCTATTGGTACCATCTACAACTTTTCACAGTGGGAATGGAAAAAAGCATAAAAGCGTTCTGAAACATCACGAGATGTCACTTGTTGCAGGCAGACAACAGTGGAGTGACATTTAGAAAGAGTGTATTTAGCAAAATGTATTCTAGCGTTATCTAAAAGATTTTCAATATCATGGATTATTATTTCTGATTTCGACAAGGTGGCTCAGGCCTTTGAATTAGATCGCCGCCCGCATTTATTTGTGACAGAGTATACGCATGAAGAGAGGATGAAAAGGCAGAGAAAAAAAGGCAGTGTAGGTTTTTATCTTACTGTTCACATATTCATCACATCTTGCTGATGCTTCTCGTTAAGACACTATCCCCTTTGCTGCTGTAACACTGCAAATTTTCCCACTGTAGGAATAACAAATCTTATTAGAAAAGACCGTGTATAGGGGCTTGTACAATAACTAACATAACTCAATGCCAGTTGGTACCTCCTTGATGTATAGGAAGGGCAAATGTAGGCCTAAAAATACTATAAATATATTACAGAACCATAAAAGCTTGGTTTCAAGATCTCAAATGGTTTCTGTAACAATAAATATTTGCGTCTAAATAAGCAAAAATCAAACTCTGGGTGTGGTTTGATCAGATTTGGGAGTGTCAGCAAACACCCCACAACTCTCATCACATTTTTTTATGTAAATGATATGCAAATACACTTTATATTTCTTTAGAGGGACAAAACAGAGAAACAGATACACAGAAATTTGTCTTGTGAAACTGTTTTAACTCCCAACAGAATATCTTGTGCAGAGCTTCTAACATATTCTCATAAGTCATATGATTTAGCAGACAGCTAACCAGGTTTTGCCCTTGCCCCTATAAAGGTAATTAGATAAGGGCCTTCAGGTACATTTCAGTAGTCATGTTTACAGTAATAAAGCCACGATTGAATCGTTGCTGTACAAAACATATCTACTCCGACTATTGCATTTCCTCTACATTTATTTAAAGTCTATTCTGATTGAAGGCCTTGGCACATGGACATCAACAACTTCAAGTAACGTTGATGTTTAATTCAGCAGGGGCTGACACCATAGCAAGGGAAAAGATCAATGTATAGGAAGCTTTGTGCTGCACATAACAACAACAATGAATTTGGGGGGGAAAGGGGGTGTACAGTCTAGTCTTTATAACTGATTTTTTTTTTTTTTTAAAAAAATTTGCATTGCCAAAATATTTTTTGTTTTGTATTTGCATCCCGGTCTGTGTACCAAGATGTGTCAGCAGTAGACTGGCTTTGGATTCCTGTGCGATTAATTGATGGTGAATAATGCTGTCTGCTTCTGACGGGACAACTGATGCTAATGAGGAGGTAAAGAGGGATGCTCGGGCTTCCTGGTGATTTAAAACAACATGAATATGGAGGGATTTTTGGGGGGAACGTGTGCTGGCAGGTTGCTTAAAAGTTCAGGTTTGCAGTGGTGTCTTCCGTTCATAGTGTGGAACTTTTACATGCGCTAAAGTGTCTAATTGACAGCGGATGGGTAAATTTATATCAACACATTGCCTCTTGTTCTGCTTTGGTATGTGCGATCCCCTCAGCGCTCAGCGGGGTGTCTGCTCTGCTCATCACACACACACACACACACACACACACACACACTCAGGTTGGGGGGCTTGTTAACATAACTTCAGTCAGACACTTCCGTTTAAAATGTATTTAAAGATTTAATTCTTCCACTTTAAGAAAGCCTTGACTCTGATTAATGCAGCCGAGCCTGTCACACGGGCTACAGGCGGAGGGAATAAAACCAATGTTTCACTGCCAAGGCAAAACGGAGCTCGAATGTAAATAGCAGGGAGAGAGACAGAGAGGGTTTTTGTGTTTTTAAAGCTTCAAAAACCGCCTCAACCCTGCGAGACACCGGAGACACGCAGACACACACCGACACGCCGACATAGCGGGCCGCCTCCCTGCCTCTCCCTGCCTCAGCGGGGCTTTGATCAGACGGAACCTTTTATGGGGAATGACTGGCGAATGCACCCGCTGCTGTCACTACAAATCTACCTCACCGAGCGCGCGGGGGAGCGGGGAGGGGGAGGGAGGAGGGTACCGGGTGGGGAGGTGGAGGTGGGGGGTTCGGGGTGTTCGCGCGGAGGGGGAGGGAGGGAGGGAGGGAGTCGGTGTGCAGCGGTGTCTTTCATCTCGTCCTAGCCGGCTCACGCGGGGCGGCACCTGCTGAAAGCTGCACTTGACTCGCGCTCCCTACTACACCTGCTCGTGCGCTCGGTGTGCGCGCGTGCAATGTAAAACAAGTCTCAGTGCACTGTACTGTTACAGGCACCGAAACGCAATTAATGGAAATGCAACAGGGGTGTTCAGGGTCAGGGTTTGTCACTAGAAACATATAGTATTCACATATAGTTCTTTTTAAACAAACCAAACACAGTCCTCTTGAAGTGCACCAAAAAGTGGACTGACAGAAAAGGGACTCAGTTCTTTTTGTGTTCACATTGTCAGTTCATTTGAGAGAGGCCTCAGCCCTCTTTCTGTTCACATTATAGCCTATAAACACTCACCTGCCATTTTATCAGGTACATCTGTTCAACTGCTTGTTAATGCAAATAGCTAATCAGCCAATCACATGGCCTGTGCTATGATGCCAGGAAGTTAAACGATCAAAAGTTACTTTCCTGATTAGAAGCCCTTTTTAAACAGGAATTGTGCAAATCTGCAGGAAAGCCCAATCAGTCTTTTTTCAGCATTGGCAGTTTAAAAGCAAAATCTGGGAGTGCGGAAAAATGCTGCCTGCCTACTTTTGTTTATACAGAATGCGCCTTTTTCGGGACAGCATTTCTCTGGGTGAAAATGCCTTGTTGATGCCAGAGGTCAGAGGAGAATGGCCAGACTGGTTCAAGATGATAGAAAGGCAACAGTAACTCAAATAACCACTGGTTACAACCAAGGTATGCAGAAG